ATCAAGGTCTTGGCCTTGTCTGACATGGACTCGGGTACCTCGGGGTGCATCTTGAACATGCCCACCTGCGGGACAGGCACACGGGGGTGGCAAAGGGACCGTCCCCGCGGGGATGGCGCATCCGCCCACCCCACTGCTACCTTGAACATGGCAGCCTGGGGGCTGCCCAGCTCGTAGAAAGGCGGCATCCCCGTGGCCATCTCGATGATGGTGCAACCCAGGGACCAGATATCTGCCGGCTTCCCGTAGCCCCATGGCCCTTGGTCGATGATTTCGGGGGCCATGTACTGCAGGGTGCCTGGGAGGAAGATGAGGAGGGATGAAGGAGCCAGCACCACCTTGCCCTCAGCATCCTCTCTTGCTCCTGTCCCCATTGTGGGCACCAGCCCTGGGATGTTGCTACCTGTGAAGGTCTCGGCGCTGGGGCTGATGCCCGCCAGCCGCTTGGAGGTGCCGAAGTCAGAGATCTTCAGTACCCCGCTGTACGTGTTGATGAGGACGTTGTCTCCCTGGGGTATGAAGGACACCCCGAAATGAAGCAGCGGGCCCAGCCAGAGAGCCCACAGGACTCGCAGGGGCTGACAAGGGGTGGCCACGTGGGCCCCTGCTCACCTTGATGTCCCGGTGCACGATGTGGTTATCGTGCAGGTAGCTCAGCCCGTCGAGGATCTGGCGGGTGTAGAAGATGATGGTGGGTTCGTTGTCCTTCAGGGGGCCCCACTTGGAGCGCAGCAGGGACGAGAGGCTCCCTGGGGAGGGCATGGGGGGGATCACAGGCCACATCAGGCCACCATAGGCCATGTCAGGCCACCATGGGCCATCACTCTCGCTCCCGCACTGCAGCCACCCTCCCTCATGCAGGGCATGCGGAGCAGAGCAACCAGCTGCACTGTCCTAATCCCCCTGCCTGGATGTCCCCATCCCATCCCCGCAGCACCCTGGCTCTGCCCACCTCCTGGCACCTCCTCCATGAAGATCTTGATGAAGCCGCCCTGGCTGACGGAGCCCAGGTACTGCACGATGTTCCTGTGCCGCAGGTGCTTGTGCAAGGCGATCTCCTCGTGCAAGGGCTGCGAGAAGCTGCACACTGGGGTCACCAAACGTGTCCCCGGGGTGCCGGGACCCCTCGGGCACGTGGCCCCTGGCACCTACCGGCTGTCGCGCTCTGGGATCTCCTTGATGGCGATGCGCACTTGGTTGCTGAGACAGCGCCCGGCGTAGACGACCCCGTAGGTGCCGCGGCCCAGCACGACGCGCTCACCCGTCTCTGAATACTCGTAGCTGTACTGCAGGGGAGACGCAGGTGGCACAAGCCCGGGCCACCCCGTGTCACACGTTGCGCCCTGCAGTGCCCGGCTCACCTCCAGGACGGTCTGTGTGGGACTGGGCACCTCCTCAGCGCCCGCCGCCTGCTCGGCCACCAAGGACTGCACCAGGTCGCAGAACCTGCGCAGGGCAGGACAGCGTGTCCTGAGCGCCCAGGTGCTGCCACCCTGTCCCACCTCCCACGAGCCCCGTGGTGGCACAAGGGGTGCCTAAGCCACCCAGGCTGGGGGTCACAAGGAGCCTCATCTGCCCAAACTAGCAGTGTGGGGGGTCCCCGCACACCGGTGTCCCCTGCTCACCAGCGGCAGTGCTGCTGGGATGGGAAGTAGAGCTGGAAATCCTCGGCTGTGTGCGTCACATAGAGGAAGCAGCCCCGCTCGTCACGCTTGCAAATGCTGGGGACGAGGAGCCACCACAGTGTCACGGTGTCACCTCGGCCAGCCCAGCCTGGGGGAGGGTCGCCAGCTCCCAGCTCACCTGATGCCCCGGATGGCGGCGGGTGCGAAGCTCCAGCTGGACGCGGCCGCCTGCACCGGGAAAGGGCGCCGGCGCCCCCTCCGCCCCGCTCTGCACGGCCACCCGCGCCGGCTGCAGGGCCTTGCTGAGCGCCAGCACCAAGACCTGCGGCACGGAGGGGACCCCGCTCGCCCCTGCCCGTGGGGTCTCCACAAGCACCCTGAGCCCAAGTCCCGCTCGCCCTGGCCCCTTGGACTTGCCGGGCAGTGCTGCGTGGGGGCCGGGGGCCGGCAGCCCTCGAGGAGGAAGCCCAGCCAGAAGTCGGCCAGCTCCTGCCGGGCACATTGCGCCTGGGGGCTCCGCTGGAAGTGCTGGTAGAGCAGGAACGTCTCCATGACGGACACCAGGTACCTGCGGGGACAGAACGTGCAAAAGAAAGATGTCCCCAAAAGTCCCCTGGGGGACCCTGTCACGGAGCGCGCGGTCCCGCCGCTCACCAGCCTGGTGCGTTCAGCTTGTAGAGCTTCTCGGAGGCCTGGATGACTTTGGCCAGGTCATTGGCCAAGATGCCGGCGCCCAGGCAGAAGCCCACGTCCCAGTAGTAGTGCAGCTTCTCCAGGCTGCCCTTGCGGCCCTGCAGGCAGTTGAGCTTCACGCCTGCGCATGGGGAGCGCCATCGTTGTCAGCCTGTGTCCCCTCCGGAGATGTCCCCGTCCCCGTCCCCCCGGCCCATGGGCACCTATCTGCCGGAGCTGCGGCGAGGTCTCGAAGCGGTGCCCGGCCGCCACGAGGAGCACGGCCGCGTTGATGCCCGCGTGCAGGCTCGGCTCCACCTCGAACGCTTTGTTGTACCTGGGGAGAGGCACCAGGCATCAGGGTGGCCACGGAACCACCAGCGCCCACCAGACCCCAGCCCCAGAGGACACAGCAACGCTCCCAGCGAAGCCCTGAAGAGATCCCTGCAGGAATTAGCACCACCTGCCCCCAGATTGTTCCAGCAGGACGTGAACGCAGGGCCCGGAGTGCAGGGCGGACACTGCGGGGCCGTCCCCAAGCCTCACCAGTGCAAAGCCCGGTCCCTGGTGTCGGCGTCGCGGAAGCCCGAGCTGATGAACATGTCCTTGTAGATGCGGCCGCACAGGCAGAGCAGGGCGGGGGCAGCCGCCTCCCGCCGCCCCCGC